TGTCATTGATGTGGTTTTACATTCATATATTCTTTTATAATTAAGAGAAGAGAGACTCGCGAATGTGAAACAAACGATCAATATGTTATAAATACCGGTATAGATCAAATTAATTAATTCTGTTAAATTTCGAGAGAGAGAGAGAGAGAGAGAGAATGAGAGAGAGAGGGGGGAAAGGGGGGAGAGAAGATGACTTATCATTGTAAGCAGAAATTAATGTCACTAGTAATCGACATAGATTTCCTCATTTGCATTTCGTGGAAGCCTTGAATTTCCTCATACTAAAAACCCGCGATTGTACCTCGCCTAATTGCTATGCATTCCGAACTAAATCCACGAAAAAATCCACCGGGGAAATTTTTGAGACGTTAATTAATCAATATTTGTCAGCGGTGCGGCAGAGCGAGAAATCGACAGCAGATTGATAACGAGGCAATATTTCCGAAGAACGATCGATTCGATGATCGCGTTATCGATAACAGCATCTCGTTCTGAACGACGGTACAATTAATGCGTTCGCGTCGACGGATGAGGAAAAACGAAACTTTTTATTGAAGCAGTATTTATTTATAAAATGAGCAATATTCCTACCTAGCACAATCCGGTTTTAAATCAAACTACACGATGGTATCAACGCTATCAACGTTGACTCACGCGTGAAACGGACGAAACATGCCGCAAGATCACGTTGTAAAGGAAATGTCTAGTTCATGTACTGTTTGCTAACGGTCGAAAGAAAAGTTTTAATAAAAATCCAGCACACCTCTGGTATATATGTGATCATACCTGAAATAAATATTTTAGAGTATGCTATCTCTAATGATATAAACTGAGAGTTGCACATATGCAAAAAAAAGGAGTATAATTTTTGCCATTTGCTTTACAAATAATAATATCACTAACGGGGAGTTTTAGAAAAATGAATCATTTCTAAAGAAGAAACGTTCCTATCATTGAATATTTTATCGTTCTTAAGAGAAGAAAATTCGTTTCTTTTCTCTTATTGAGATATCAGTGACGAGAGTGAATCAACACACAAGTGTCGTAGAGAGATTCGTGTAAAAAAAAAAGTAAAAATAATCAATATTTTGAAAAGTAAAAATAATCAATATTTTGAAAAGTAAAAATAATCAATATTTTGAAAAGTAAAAATAATCAATATTTTGACTGACAACAAGAGCGAGAAGAAGTGAAAATAGCTTGTTGATGCAGTTCCGCTGAAATGTGCGCATATAACGTTGCATTCGGTGTTTTTCATTCATCAAAAGTAGAAAGGTGTGTAACGATCGAAACTGCAACAGGTGAACAACCCAGGAGCCAAGTCTAATCTATTTACGAACCTGTTGTCACGGACCGGTCTTTGTACAAGTATGATTCAACGGATATCAAGAATAATTTTTATCACGCTCGTATCTGTATCTCGTGCGATACACTTGTGGCGATGACAATTTTCGAGTGGATGAAAATAATAGGTTCGAGGTTCATAGAATGGTTTAGAAAGTCTTGGCTGTGGGTAATTCAACTCATTAGCCAGATAACGGATCACATGTTCGTGTTCGATTCGTTACTATTAAACAGGAGATAATCGCTGAATTAATGTTATCGTACGATCGATATTTCGAGGCTGCTTTCTCATCTAATTAATGAGATGCTCCATGGAACGCACGTATACGAAACTATACCGGCATTCAAAGAAGAAACGTTCGTGGTAGATGTAAATGCAAATGGCGCGAGATCGAGACAAAAATTATTTGCGGAATCTCGAAACATCTCGCGCGGTCAATTAGTACGTGTCCAACTGCTACGCTATTTATTGAACATTCGCTTGACGTTTGCATCTCATATGGTGCTGTTGATTTACCGTGAAATACGAGGCCGACAAGCGTCGAGAAAGAAGCAAAAAACAACGAGCGCTGTCCGCCAGACAAGTCGTGCATATGGATATCGTTCTTCGCGCGTCCCCCCTTTCTCTCGGTCCCATTCGTTTACCAAGGTCATCCAGTTTTATATGCGGAACTGTTTATCTGTATAGACATCATTTTGAGTACTCGTAGATTCTGCACTTCCTATCGGTACCGTATTCAATACGTAATACGTCTAAATATACGCTTTGTTACTCATTCGCACATCATGTAGACGCAATCGATAGATTTCTCGATGCGATTATTCTTGTTGACGCAATTTGACGTAATTGAGATACAAAGCTTAGTAACTTCACCTTTCATCTACGAAAGAGCATTTTATGTTGAAAATATCGACTGCAAAAATGTGAAAGTATTGGACTAAAAAGCAATCAGCTCAATATGCTTCAGAATGCTACCTAAATAATTCTCGGATTTTTCAAATAAATGTAGAGTTTCTCAATAATAAGATACATTACAGAGAATATAAAAACTTTGCAGAAATAATAATAAATAATTGTTACAGAATATATAAATAATCTATAAGAAATAATAAAATCACAGAAACAGCTAAGTACTCCAGATCGATTTCTGTCACTTTAATTTTATACACTTTCGGTATTTATAATGAACTCATATTCATACAGCTGTTTCTGCTAGTAAGCAGCTGCCACATCGATAAAATTCAGAAATGATCTAAATAATCAAAAGCACCAGTAGTATACTTTGCATACACATAATAGAATTACAAACGACGGATCAGAATGCCATAATTTTCGCTGAAAGTATGCATTCACATATCTCTATAGCATATTTCTTAAGCATACTTATCAGCATTTTTCGAGTATCATGTTCGGTAAAATTCACCATTACATATACATATATATGTCCGCATTTATTGATGAAATTGATTTGTTTAAAAATTATAACGATTTACATATATATCCACAAAACGTTTTCCTACCAATAAAAAATACATGGTAGTGTTTCTAGTGAAATTGTTATAAACTAATATATGTTTTCGATGCTATCATATTTCTCTTGATAGAAAGAAATAACTGATAGTTATAACTGGATAATTAAACAATATTTGACTGGTAAGGCTATATTCTCGAAAACCGTTCCATTAGACGATTAACTTTGCGGACGAACTCACATTGTTATTTTAAGCTAACTATGAGAATTCGTTTTCGGACAGCATCCGGGCGCCACAACGTTTGCAGAAGTGATTAGAATATATTACCAATGTTTTCCCGCGATTATCTCGACTCTGATAAAGGAAAGTTTTCAACTCAATCGGTGATCAGCGCGAACGCGAATATACTAATATACTATATGTATATGTATGTAAGGTAAATATGAGCGCACGTAAATTTTAGAAAGAATGGAATCGGAAAAAAAATTATTCCTACTTCCTACATAATCCATAATATTATCTGTTATCTATAATTTGCAACCGATGACCTTGCACAGAATCGATTGACTTAGCGCTATACAAATATGAATGTAAAAAGTGTAGAACGCTAGCATATGGAGATAAAAAATTGATATTACAACGAATACGTTTTAACGACTTTAAAGAAATAAAAATGCACACGAGATAAAATATCTCTCACGAGTGTATTCAAGTCTTACGTAAGACGTGTAACTTTTCGCTCCTGAGCAAGCGTCTGTCTGTACACGTCGAATGAGTGGAAAAATTTGAGCATGTGCAAATATTTGCAGAACTGGTCAAAATATCTCGCGACCGACATTACTACTGACATCAGGAAGGAGCCGCGACACGTCCTTGTCTGCAAACGGCGTCTTATCGGATATCTAAAATGTTTCAGCTGGAAAATCACGTATATTATTGACCAAAAAACATAGGTATATCTGTGCGTGCTGATAGGTAATCACTTGACAAACAGTATTAGCCATACTTGCAGATAAGCATCGTGAATTCGTTGGAACAAGACGTGAGATAAATGTATAATAGCACGTATACGCCTCGTGACCGCGGTAATCCATGCAAATAGCGTATTTATATAAAGATAAAATGATGCAAATTTTTATAGAATTCGCTCGTACAATTTTTTAAAATTAACTGCGCGTTAACGACTCGTGAGAGAATTATATGTGTATGTATTTCATATACACACACATATAATTATGTGAGATATGAGATGAATTTTTAAATTGAACGTAATCTACGTTGGCATATTAGACGATTGTTATTTCTGGTTAAATGGAAGAGTCGCCGTAATTATGTAAATTACAAATAAGCTCAGGTCGCGACAGCTTGCGCCATCGCATAATGTTCTCGTAAACAGGTCTCGCCGTAACGTTTCGTGCGTCGTACTTACGGGTCGAGAGTAATTAGACGAATTAGTTGAGTGATAATATAATTTGGTGAATTAGATGAATAATATATACGATAATGTGTGTAATTAGATGTATAATAATAATATAATTAGATAATTTTTTCAATTTCTTCATTCTTCATCAAAAGTTTCTATAAAAATCTTGATTTAAATAATTTTTAATTGTGCGTTTTTATGTTATTGTCGTTAATAAAAAAATATAAAATAATTTTACAAACAGAATATATGAATTTAAGAAATAAAATAAATAAACATAAATGATAAATATATACGTAGCCTTATCAAGTTCTCAATTAAATATTTTGAAGTATATTCACATTAAGTCGATAATTTTTAGGCAATGGAAGACAAAAGAAGGATCGAATGAATAATCACGTGATAGTCAGAAAGCTTATATATTATATTCAATATGTATAACATTCGTGACTAAATATAAAAAAGCGTATAATAAATGAAAAAAATTACATTTATTCACATAACTTACTAACGAGAAATGATTCGTTGATCGGCATTGTTTCGACGTCTATCGACAAGTCATTTCTCGCCGAGCAGGTATTACTTTTTACTGTGTTTTGGTATTCACATACGATACACATCGCAAAATTGGATTAATTATTTAATAAACAGTAAGTTATTAAAACTTTAACGTGAGCTTGGTAATTAAATCTTATATATAAACAAATCTTACAGACATATCTTATTATATTTATTATAAATCTTATTCACTGTACACATATATACATAGTTTATTAGACAAAATTAATTTTATAAAAGTCTTTGTCTTTTGTATCAGATACAGTTCCTGGTTCTCATGCTGTCACTGCTACTGGTTTCTGAATTTTTTCTTTCGTACGACCTTTATCTTGCTCTGGCAAATCTTTTGGCACTTCTGGTAGCAAAATATCCTCTGGCACTTCAGGAGCTTTCTCCTCAATCTCTGTTTCTAACAATGTATCCAATTCAGCTTCAATTTCACTTTCATCCTCCTCAGTGAGCGCTCCAGACAATATTTCGTCTATTTCCTGTTGTTTTTCAATACCCTCTCTTGTCTCGTCCATAACCTTTTCAATCTCATCAATGGACAACAAAGCATGTAGTTGTTTTAATGCATTATTACCAACTTTTAGGCCATCAAGCACTTTTATCTCAATTTGAGCATATTCTAAGTCATGCACCATACGTTCAAGATTTTCCAGGTGACCATCCGTACGTGACAGCACTTGTTCTTGAAATCTTTTCTTGCGCAAGAGAAGCAATGCACGGCTGCAAATGTTAATAATAATTCTAAATCTATGATACAAGCAGACACAATGCTGTGAAATAAAAAATATAATAAAAGATAATAAAGACTGATGTTTCTGTACAATGTCTGGAAATAAAATAATTTTTACTTACTCTTTCTTCCCATTTTTCAAAAGTTCCTTCGCGAGCAAACGTTCTTTTTCCAAAGTCTGCTCAATCTTTTTTTGGTATTGTTTAATTTTATCTCTTGCTTGTTTCAATTGCTGTGTAAACATAAATACGAATGATCCGTGATAATTTCGAGGTTATAATGTATTAATATTATCCACACTTAAATATTATATCAAATATCATTTCCTGTTTGTCATATATTGCAAATCGAATATTTGTTAACAATTTGCAGATGATGTCAACCAAAATCAATAATAAAGGAATGACTGAGCACTTTCGGAAAAGATAAGGTTAAATCAGTCACTTACCAGGATCGCCTTGTCCTGTTCGGTGACGCGACTCTGATGTTTCTTTTTTGCGAAAAAGATCCCCATTTCGGTTATAATGTTACGGAACGCGAGTCACGAGTTAAATTAACATTCGATCGAGTCAATGTCACGTTTGACAGTTGTCGATAACCTCTTTATGAGCTTGGAGGCAACCATCTTGGCCGTTCGAGACATTAGGCCTGTTCGTTTTGTCTGCACTGTTGAACTGGTGCATTAAGTTAAAGTGAGACAAACGTAGGTTTTCTCACTTCAACTTGTTGCACCGTTCAGCAGTGCAGACAAAACGAACAAGCCTTATATCTCATTTATCGTTAAATCGTATATATTACTTGAATATAAAATATTTAACTAATCTGTCGTTCAATTGTAATTGAAACCCAGTTAACCCATTGAAATCCAGTAAAGTCATTTTAAACAACACGACTGAATAATAGCGGCAAACAGAAGGCTACTTTTTTATATTTCATATTAAATAACTGAATGCTTCAGATATATAATAATGTGGCTATGAATATTAAAAAATAATAATTCTATATATGCAAATATATATTATAATACAATAATTATTGCAAGATATAATTTATCACACACACACACACATATACACATACATACATATTCATAAATATAAATAAAATTTATTAATTCACTATGTCACTATTGAGATGATGTCGAAAATAATGATAATGTTGAAACTGATGAGGACGATTATTTTTATAATATAATTTATAATATAATTAACATTTAAGAAAAAGTTCATAACATACTATGCGTATGTAAGCATAAAACATAATATAATATACGTTGCTCAATTCAATCTAATGTCTTTGGCTTTGCATCCTACCTATCAGTGTATTGATAAACATTACCCGAAAATATAGTGAATCTATGAATTATTGATCGGAACGATCACGATCAAACATAGAACGTGTGTAGTCTTATTGAATTAAATACAAGTTTGTTAGTCAAAAATTATGTATATGCAATCACTATTGGATAAAACTAGATTACGTTAAAAGATCAAACATTAACTGTTAAAACATCAAGTAATTGTATTATTTCAATAATCTTCGACAAATATTTTTCGGAGATTCTTTGCGAGCATTGCGTTGCTCACACATGTGCGGACATGTTTCCACATGAGAATATTCGCGAAACTTTGCTCGAATCGTCACGAAGCCTTAATCGCGCGAATTTAATATTTTCAGTAATATGACTCACCGTCAAGTCGAGAAGACATTGTTTCTCGTCGATAGAGATCACTGTTTGCCTATCTCATTATTTAATTCCACAAAAAAATGACAAATCCTTCCGATCCGATGTTAAGTCGTCCGATGTAAAATCGAAATGGCCTCCAGCTTACCGCTACCGTTGAAATGCACGTTACAAACGTACCTCCTCGCGCCATCTGTAGTAGAGTTGTGAGAAACTATTCGGTAAAGCAGAGTACAATTTTTTGGGATTGAATCTCAGCTAAATAACCCTTTACAATTAGACTCTATTTTTATTCGGTTCGATATCTACACAAGAAAATTACCACTGTCCTCAATGAGAAATAAAGATTTGTACCACAAGCGTATTCTCCTGGTAACATATTACTTTGCGAAAAGTTTTTATCTTGTTATAATAAATATTAATTTATCTGAATAATGTGACGAAGAATTAATGCAATTAAGAGATGAAACGTGTAACGATCAGAGTTAAAATCTTGTTGAAACAAACTCGAAACTATTAATCAAAGAATATAATCGCAGTTGGATGAAAGTTTGATTATGTTAAAAGATCAATTAACATGTTATCTAAATATCTTCCGGCAAGTATTCTTCAGATATTTTTCGCGAGCGCTGCGCTGCTTATACATACGCGGACAAGTTTCTACGTAAGAATATTCGCGAATTTTTGCTCGAAATGTCACGAAGTCCTGATCGCGCAAATTTTATATTTTCAGTAATATCAGAGAGAAACCTAAGAGAGGCCACCGGGCCGATTACGCTAGGACGCTTTTTCCGCCGAATTCCATTGCGCCCTCTGAGAAAATGTGTGCACACTACATCGGATTGCGGGTAGTGCGTTGCGCGAAAGATGAAGAGATGAGGGGGCAAGACGGGAGAGATTCTAGTTTAGCGATAAGATCTACCGCTGACTCGCCTCGTGTCTCCTCCTGCCAAGCGTTTGCTCGTCAGTGGTGCGACAAGACGGAAAGCGATTGATCGTCTATGCTTTTCTAACTTACTATCTTCCTTAAGGAAGTAGAGTGAGCAAGAACCGTGCACGGTTTGTCGTTAAAGTCTTTTGTTCGCCTCCGTGGCGGTAGGATGTGGTTCCTGTAACTACGCATATTTTTTGATCGTGGGGACTGCGTACGCGTTGTCCCTATTTCTCTTTTATCTCCATACTACTGGAAAATAGTCTTACAGAATTTAATTTATCTACACCGTGAGAGTGGCATTGAAACAGTACCCTATTTTGCTCAGAGCCATTTATTGAATTGAATTGAATTGAATTGCTTTGCCATTACCGTCAGGACGCATGTAGCATGTACACATTTTCTCAGGGGGCGCAACGGAATTCGACGGAAAGAGCGTCCCAGCGTAATCGGCCCGGTGGCCGCTCGCAGATTTCTCTCTAATACGATATATATCGTATAAATATAGGGTGTCCGGTAACTAGTTGCCAACCCAAAGTGTGAAGGTAGATTGGGTTAAGACAAATATAAAAGTCCCATATCGTTTTGCGAGATTCGCAATAATTATCGAGATATTAACTACAAAAATTTGACGAATGACTGGAAAAGCGTCGTAGCAGAGAGAAGAACATCATTAACGTGGATATGAGTGATGTGGATGTGGATGTAGATATGGGTGCGAGAATACAGAGAAACGCAGAAAAACGTAGAAAAATACAGAAAAACAGTGAGAAATGCAACAGGACGAAAAACGATGTGGATATGGATGCGAATACGGAGAAACGCAGAAAAGCGCAACAAAACGCTGAAAAACGCGGAAAATATAGAAAAACAATGAGTAACGCAAAAAGACGAAAAAAACGATGTTGCAGAAAGTGCAACAAAACGCACAAAAACATTGAAAAACGTAGAAAAATACAAAAAAATAATCAGAAAAACAAAAAGACAAAAAGAAGATAAAAGTGATGTGGATGTGGATGTGGACGCGAATATAGAGAAAAGCAGAAAAGCGCTGAAGAAAGCACGAAAATACGGAAAAACGATGAGAAACGCAAAAAGACAAAAGAAACAATGTAGTTGTGAATGTGGGTGTGCATGTGGATGTGGATCTGGGTGTGCATGTGGATATGGATGTGGACACAAATCTAAAGAACGCAGAAAAGTACAAAATAACACTGAAAAACGCAAAAAATACAAAAAACACTGAGCATCGCAAAAAGAAGAAAAAAAACGGCTTGGATGTGAATGTGGATGTGGATGCGAATACAGAGAATCGCAACGTAGTACAAACGGGTACAAACGATTCTCTATCGAACCCCGTTGTCCGTTTTAAAATATCTGAATGAATAGGGTAAGTTCCATTTTAGCGTTATTTGTAAAATTGAAAGATGCTGTGATTTCCAAACCGGTCGAGGTACAAACGAAATGCAAAGTAGTACAAACGGGTACAAACGATTTTCTATCGAACCACGTTTCCCGTTTTGAGATATCATAAAAATGGCGGAAATACCATTTTAACGTTATATGACAGAAACTGAAAATTGCTATATTTCCGAACCGGTTGAGGTACAAACGAAATGCAAATTGGTACAAACGGATACAAATGGGTAAGGTCGTAAAAAGCGCTTGGATTTTCCTTACGCAGCTGCTCCCATGGCTGTTTCATCAGCATTACGAAAACTTTTGTGGATAAGTATGAGGAAAGTGACGAAAGATGCTCCTATTTTAAAGCGCGATCATAAAATGTGCGACTACTTTGTCACGCTTATAGCCCGTTTTACATTAGTCGCAAGGCACAAAACGCAAGTCGCAAATCATAGGAATCCACCAATCATAGTCGAATGTTAAGAAAATATTCGACTGTGATTAGTGAATTCCTACGACTTGCGATTTGCGTTCTGTGTCTTGCGACTAATGTAGAACTGGCTTATATCATCAATGTCCGCTTCAATCTCCCACCCTTGATAAAGTTTCAACGCACGATCAAGCGCGAGTTTTGAATTTTCAATTTCCGCGTAGAAACTAGTCGGGGGACGTTCGCACCCGCGGTGGAGTTTAACGCTCGCGTTCGCAAGGGCCTAACATTCTATTCGCGAAGGGACGCCATCGCTCCTCTTTTCACAACGGTGCGGATTTTTATTCTTCCTTTTTCGCGACAACGATATCGCGACGAGGCCCTAACGAGGCAAGTTCGTTTATAACTAGCGTTTATATCAAAAGCGCTTCTCGGGAACATTCCGTTCGAGGGGTTAGTCCGCGATAGAAATTTTCCTGCGACCGGAGGTCTCTGTAGTTTAAAGTTAAATTGCGGTAATAGCATTGTTATCGGGCAGCCCTAAGACGGGCTGCTGCCATCCGTCAGTGACGTTTGCCGCGCGCCTTTGCGATTATTGGCAAATTCAGTTTTCTCGATTGCTCGCGCGATTTCAAGTGGCCATAATATATGGCGATAAAAATAGCAATATGTGGCAATAATATATGGTAACAATATATGGCAACAATATATGGCAACAATATATGGCAACAATATATGGCAATAATATATGGCAATAATTCATGGAATATATTTTTCGTTACAGAAGTCAATGCAAATTTGCGGCATGCACAATGTAATAATAAAAGAGCTCTCTGCGAGCATTGAGTCAAACGCTCACCGATGATGATATTGATGATGTCCCGTTGCATCCAATCAGATCCACCAATGTCCGCCCATGTCCGCCCATGTCCGCTGCCGCTCTCCGTGTCGCGCAGCATCCATCTTGCGTCCCACGTTGATTGCTAGACTTTCGCTACACTTCCGCGACGCGGTCGATACTTGTATTAGAGCGGCGATATTTGCGTCTATTGACGCACGTTTTACGTCGACATCGGTGGAAACTTTTTACGCGCTGCGAAACGGATTCTATAAACTCGATCGGCGAGGAGCAAGAATCGTGTGAAAATTTATCGACTCGTCCAACGGATTTTTACGGCGCTTTTCGCGATCGCGTCTGAAAAGTCGCGAAA